GTGTGTGTGTGTGTGTGTGTGTGTGTGTGTGTGTGTGTGTGTGTGTGTGTGTGTTCTATTAATATCCATGACAATTTTATGAATGTTGTTACCTATGTTATTGCATGCCTCACCTAAGACAAATTATGGGTATTATTAAATTTAGCCCACAGAGATCAGCTGTAGTTTATTTAATTCGCAATTTTGTTCAGTTTTTCTATAGATGATCCCGATTTTACTAAGATTATATCGTCCATGAATGAACTGAACGAGATTATGAGCGGTGGCTTTGCACCAGACTATATCAGCGCTCTGAAATACTTCCCGCGGACCACCTCACAGAAACGCTTTATGGAACTGTCTGACGAGTTTATAAAGAGAGGGCGGGAAGAATATCAGCATCACAAAGACACGTTTACACGCAGTAAGCTGTCTGGACATTTGCTATGTTTGGAATCAAGCGCAGGAACATATCTATTAGAGATGACGGGGAGAGTATCAGCATCACAAATATATCACGTTTACACGCAGTAAGCTATTCGGATGTTTGCTACGTTCAGAATAAAGCGCAGAAACATTTCTAGTGATGCCAGTAAATCACGATTCAGTGTCTATTATATATAAATAGGTGCGCCTACAGGCGGTATTAGTGTGGAATCACCCATGTCTAATAAATTGCTTAATTTTCTTAGATGACATTCGAGATCTGTGTGATGACCTAATTCTTGCGCATCAGGATATGCCGGAAGAAGAACGTGATATCCTTACTGAAACCCATATTGTGCAGACATTGATTGACATATTTGGAGGTACGTAAGAGTAACACGAACCTACTTTACGAAAACCCGAGTATACTCTAATGGTCACATCTCATTTTACAGAACAATAATCTGGTTATTAAATCACCTATACTCATTACTTCCTTATTCTAATTAAATGGCATACAAAAATGAAAACTTGTATTAATTATTTGTATTTCTAAAAAAAAAACAAGCGTAACAGTACCTTAAAATAAACATGAAAAAATACTGAACCCCGTTAGATTTCCTTAATTCGGGTCCTAATTCGGGTCCTAATTCGGGTCATAATTCGGGTCATAGCGAACCTGTCATTTGGTAAACCAAATGTAAATGGGCTATCGATATTAATTATAAATCCCATAAAACCGAGATTCCACACTAAAAATAACTCAATATTGCTTACAATTATGGAATTTCCCCGTAAATACATATTTTACATACTAGATTTGTTTTGTCACGATGAAATGCGGTGACTACATTAATTTTATACGTTTCATCACTAAGCTGGGACGGATACAACATCAGTTACATTACTGTGGACCATAAAGTTCATGATGGCGCACCCAGAGATTCAGAAAAAGGGGCAAGAGGAAATCGACAATGTCATTGGTATGTCTAGTTTGAACTCGATTGATGATAATTTTATATCGAAGAAGACAAATATCAATTTATAGACATGAGCTATCATTTTTATTGATAGCCTAAGGTATTATTTTAGATTACTTTTTGTGATTAAGATGTGAGCAATGCATTTTAAAATTGTGCGATAGGCATTTATCAGGTCATTGAACGCTGATGCTATACTTGTAGGTCAAGATCGTCTAGTTAACTTTCACGACAAACAAAATCTGCCATACTGCGACGCCATCCTGCATGAGGTCATGCGACATCGACTACCTGCCCCTATTGCCCTACCTCACTGCGCGACCATAGACACGACAGTTGGTAAGCCATTTATTCTATATAATTACTAAGGTAACCGGCGTAAATGGTTGCATTTCTATCAGCCCAAGCTATCTGATAGATGATAAACACGTTATGCAGCTATTTTGTAAATAAGTTAGCCGTTTGCACGTTTTGCCGTTTTTAATTTCCTTTTCACGAAATAACGTTGGCAGTGTTGTCAAATTTTGTCGCTACTGTGACAACCTATATAATACGTGGATTGCGGAAACATTAATAATCAAAACGTGGTTTAATCTTTTGTAAGTGGCGTATTTCTTTTGGAGTCACGCATATTTTGTGGACTACCAAAGTATCTAGCATAGATGAAGGTGTTAGAATTCGTCAGTTACGATTATATAATTATCATGCACATATAGGTGGTTATGACGTCCCAAAAGACACGATGGTGATGTTCAACCTGTACGGACTCCATCACGATCCAGCGTACTGGACTGATCCTGAGAAGTTTGATCCAACACGGTTTCTTGACGAGCATGGCTCCATCAGGACCAAGATGCCTAGCTTCCTCCCGTTCTCTGCCGGGAGACGTGTTTGCGTTGGAGAGTCCATTGCTAAGATAGACCTGTTTGTGCTCTTTGCATGTTTCCTACAGCGATACAGCTGGAATGAGCCACCAGGGGAAGTTACTGACGTGGAACCGAAGATTTCTGCAATCGGAATGGACACCAAACCATTTAGGGTTGTTATAAAGAACAGGCTTTAAATGTGCATATCGCAATCTATGTGCAAGAAACACTATTTCGTTAATAAACAATAACTCTTCTGTTAAACAAGCTACTTCGGTGATGGCAAAATGAATGCATGACATGAGTATATAGCGTTATCGTGATGACAAGTCATTTTTATTTTTATAAATTGGATTAAGTTCAACTGCGAAATTACTGTATACGCCATATTTTTCGCGTACATATATTTTCGCGAATTCAGACTTGACGGGCAATTTCGCAGGTGGTTAATTTCGCCGTCGGTGAATTATGAATTATTCGGTATTATTCGGTATGAATTATTGGCGTGTTGTTATTTTCGCGGTCGGGAACTATTCGATGTAACAGATCTACGGTTATTATTATAGATGAAAATGAGTTAGTAGACTAATTTAACAACGTTAATTTTACCCACCACAAACTACGTTAATTAAGTCGCTGCGCAGACCTTTTTAGAAACATAACAATATATGGGTCACAAATGGACAATCCACAAGAGAACAGTCGTGCGGCTCGCTACAAAGGTCGCGCGAATACAGCTTGTTGGCGGAGGCTAATTAAGTTAATTAAACGTGTTAATTGCGTTGTAACGTTAGGACGAGTAAACAGGATAAACACACGTATGTATCATCACTCATTATTCCTTCTTATCATATCAAGCCACAGCTAACCTAAAGACACGTTCTTTACGATATCAAGAGCTGATGAATGAATTCCAGTGTAAATCCACTACGCCATCGTAGCTGCTGGCTGTTGAGGAGAGTGCCTAACATAAACCAATCACTGTGCGTCACATACCATAGGAACCAAACTGACGCCTCTCTTGTATGTAAACCATATGGCTCTAGCTCTGTCTACAGCTGTACCTGGGGGATGTGAGGAGTAACTGTGGGGAGGAGTGCTGGGGGATGTGATAGTTGCCTCATTTTCGTTTGTATGATTGCGTTCAACACTGATGAAAGCAGGGGCACGTACACGTGTGTGCGTGCGTGTGTACGTACACGTGCGTGCGTGCGTGCGTGTACGTACCACAGGCACTTGATGCGTTTCATCTGTATACACACGCCGCCGCCATTGCTGCTGCGCTGCACACTGACACATAAATATAGAGTATTTATTATGTGTTTTATAACACACATATATAACTATATTATATAACACATTATACGCACACTATATATTTATGTGTCAGTGTGCAGCGCAGCAGCAATGGCGGCGGCATGTGTTTACAGATGAAACGCTTCAAGTGCCTGTGGTGTGTACGTACACGTGCGTGCGTGCGTGTGTACGTAGACGCGTTCGTGCGTGTGCACGTGCGTCTGTGTGCACGTACACGTGCGGTGTGTGTGCACGTGCGTGTGTGTGCACGTACGCGTGCGTGCGTGCGTGTGCACGTACACGTGCGTGCGTGCGTGCGTGTGTACGTACACGTGCGTGCGTGCGTGTGTACATCGTAAATCATCAAAGAAATATACACTTTAAAAAAAGAAATGTGAAATTGCGAAACTTTAGGGCACAGGGGGCATGGGGAGTACCTTTGCCCCCCTACAGAAAATTTTCTGCGTACGGCCTTGTTCTGAATAGTTTTCGATGTTATCTTGGCATTTTTTTACTTAAAACTACTTAGTAGTACTATTACTATATTCTCTCTGGCAATTAAGAGCCACTCATTTGTCTAAATTTAGTAAAAGTAAGTACTACTGGCACAGGGGCGTGTACGGGGGGGGGGGGGTCCAGGGGTCCGACCCCCCCTGCTCGCGCAGGAAACGCATCTGAGGGAGTCTAATTTCATAAATTTCTGGGGGGCCCCAGACCCCCCCCCCTTCGCGTGCTCCAAGAAAAGTTGCCCCTAACAAAATCTCAAAGTGCCCTTCCCACCTGCACCCCCCTAGACAAAATCCTGCATCCGCCCCTGAGCTGGGCATACTCCTCATAATAACAAAGCTCTACGAATTATCCGGTCTAAATCGCCATTGACCTTCACTTATTCATGGCTATCATTTAGTCTGACGTAAGAATGGTCATCTGTTATTGTAGCGTTGGATATAATGTTCCTCGGATTGAGAAAAGTAAATTTTCCGAGGTTACGAGGTGATCGCTCTCTTTTGAACTAGTGCCATTCACAATATACATTTCGTCCGATCAATACCCAGTTTTTTAAGGACGTACGCAGGCCCTGTCTCTTTATACGTTCTGTTATAAATCTGCATGAAACTTGTTTGGCAGTTCTAATGCGAATAACAACAGTTCAGTTATGCTATGACTAGTTCTATATGGCTTACCGAGATCAACACATGCATGCACAAACCTCTTATTGAGGATGACTGGAAATGACGCTTCACGACAAAATCTACCAATCCAGGGTCTGCCCCGATGACCTACTAAACTATGTATGTGATTTTGTGCCTATACATGGGTACATGTACGTTCGGCTGGCTCAATACCCGCAATTTCTAGGTGTGGCGTCACGGTAGTGAGTCGAAAGATTATATGTACTCTACGCCAGGCCGCGTAGCTAGGATTTTTATTTAGGGGGGGGGGCGGCAATGAGCACGTGAAGTGTGCGAATCAGGGGGTAGATTCATCAAGCTGCGTACGCAAAATATTTTGCGTAAATCTTGTGTACGCAATCGACGTTGCTTAGTTGCGATTCATCAACACGGCTATTTAGTAAATTTTTCTACGATTCGCGTACGCAAGCGAGGCCGTTTTAGGTGCGATTCATCAAGCTAAATTTACGTAAACCTTTGCGTAACTTTACACGAGCTGACGAGGTGCCGTAAACCACTCGTGAATTTCCGCAGGTGTTTCCAGCATACCGCAGCATGCATTATTTTATTGAGAAAATATTATAAATTACTACTCAATTAAAAATAAATAAATAATTACCATACTACACAGACAGGCGGCGCCTTTGACGCTTCTTTGGTTATAGCTTGTGCATTGTTTTCGTTATAAGCGAGTTCGTAATTAGCCGTGTACATGCACACGCACGCACGCGACGCACACAGTGTACGTAACACACGCCGCGACACGCGTACGTGGCACGCACGCACGCACGCACGTGTACGTGCACACGCACGCACGTGTACGTGCACACACACGCACGCACGTGCACGAATGCACGCACGCACAGACACGCACGCACGTGTACGTGCACACGCACGCACGCACGCACCACGTGTACGTACACACGCACGCCGTGTACGTGCACACGCACAGCACGTGTACGTGCACACACACGCACGCACACGTGCATATGCACCGCACGCACGCACGTGTACGTGCACACGCACCGCACGTGTACGTGCACACACACGCACGCACAC